TTAAGCATTATATGACTTCTTAATATTGACCTGAGCATGCTTACATTTAGAACAATGTTTTTGTAGTTCCAGGTCTCTGTTTTTGGACAGGGTAAGGGAAGAACTGTTAGAAAAGAACATCGGATGAAAGTCTGGCTTGGGTAGGATGCCATTTGTAGAACAATATTTCCAAGATACGTAGTTTCTGATTGAAGATCACTTTGTGATTAGTAAATAATGCAATACTTATGTTTTTCTACAAGAAAAATACCTATTTCAAAGGCTAATTCTAAAAAGTAAGTAAAAGCAAAGCGTGGAGATGAAATAATTCCCCCAATAGAGACAAAAGGTTCCTTCCTTGAGCTGTATTCATGGAATTCCAGAATCTTCAGACCTGGTTCTGTATGGTTTGAACCCCATAGATTGTCTCAGAGTGAGACTACATTTTTGCCTGGAGTGCATTAGGAGACAGGATGAGATCACATCGAATACTGAAAATTCAGGGCTTGTTTAGTATTAGTTCTACTTAGATTTCTGTAGAGGATTCAAATACTGTATACAGTGTCAACTTTTATTGTCACAGTTGCTGCAGTTCCTTCTGAGTTTTAGAAGTTGTAACACCTCCATGTTCAAGACATGTGTCTTTATTGATGTGCACATCCATCAGAACCTCTTGCCCCTATGTTCTGTTATCAAGGCTTCAAGATACCAGGTTAGCAGCGTGTTTGTTGTGTTGATTCCTACTTGAAAGATTTAAAATGTCTCTTGATTTATCACCAGCAGAAATCTCTGCTTTTAGTGATTTTGTAAACAAAGAAGGAAGGTACCTTAGGGACACTGATGCTGCAGTATCTTTTATTCTCTCATCTCAACAATCAATTCGATATAGAATTGCAAGTCATGGCATCCTATAGGTTTTAAATAGATGCCAAGCCTCTATTCATTTTAGACTTCCAGAACTGCAGAAATTAGTAAAACAAACACCTTATGCAGTGAGACAATGAAGTTAGAATAACTTTAATGTAAGCTTATCATTGTTCATGTTCACTGCTTAAAAGCTGTACTGAGTCCTAATGAAACTCATGCTTCAATATGAATAAATTCAGTTTTCTTTGCTGAATTAAAGTGTCTTTATATAGCCTTATTTTTTTAATGAATGACAGCGATTTTATTGAGGTAAAACTTTTTGTGGCATGCAACATCATGAGTAAATGACATTAAACATAATGAGAATAGAGTTCAGAAGTTTAGCTGTCCCTTGCACCTTGGATTGCATGTGTGAGTGGAGTAGAACAGCACTAATAACTTTCTGTAGTTGGTCTATAAAAGATCATATTTTCTCTTGTGTCATAAATAAGGGTTGATATTTGAGGTCTAGAAAAATCTGTTGAATGTGTAATCTCTATCAAATATGTAATGTGATATACAGTGTTTACCTTCTCAAATCTGTTCTGTGCATGTGTTATTTTTGCCTTTTTAAAAATATAATAGTTGAAAAGCCAAAACACGTTCTCACCTCAAATGGTACCTCTGAATCTTAAAACTGTTCAGGTTAAGATTTTGCTGACCCTCGCCTTCTCAGCATGTGTCTCCTCTGAATTTACCACCATTTAATGAATTCAGACTTTGATATGTTCAAGTATTTGTTATTCTGAAGGCAACACTCTTGCTGTCATTTTATATATTCTGTAGGAGTCCAGAACAAAATCCCTTTTAGAGCACTTTTTCCTATCAAGTGTTATTTGTGCTCTTCCTGTTTCAACAATCCCTTACACATCTGTATTTCTTGTGAGTTAACTCTACAATACACACACACTTTCATATACATACATTGTTTTTGTATTGTGTTATACCAGCTCTGAGTATGGCTAGCATTTTTTACACCAAAACTCTACCAGAAAAATAAGTTTTATCTAAGATTCCTGCATGGCATCGTTCTAAAGCTTCATTTACCCCAGCTTCATTAAACTGAACATTTTCCTCATAAGGAGGAACAGAGAGGAAGGTGCTGATCTCTTCTCTGCAGTGACCAGCAAGGGGATCGAAGGGATCAACATAAAGCTCTGACAGGGGAGGTTCAGGTGGGAAATCAGGAAAATGTTCTTCACCAAGGGGGTGGTCGGGTACTGGGACAGGCTCTCCAGGTAATTGGTCACAGCATCAAGCCTGTGCTGGAGTTCAAGAAGCATTTGGACAATATTCTCATACATAGGGTTTGATTTTGGGGTGGTGCTATGTGGGGCCAGGAGTGAGACTCAATGACCCTTGTGGGTCCCTTCCAACTCAGGAGATTCTGTGATTCTATTATTTATTTACCTTACAGTTGTCATTTACAAATATAAAAGGCTACTGCTGGAACCAGGATGTTGCTCTTCAGCTCAGCTTACTAGGACATGACTAAAAATCCCATTTGAATTCAGTTCCTTTCTCTTGGTTCCTTTCTTCTGCTTGGTTTTGGTACTTGAGTGCTAAGGTTCAGTTAGTTTACCCTGTCTTGTGGAAATTTTATCAAGTAGTTTAATTTGAAAAATACATACCAGGTAAACTTACTAAAAGAGCAAAAATTAGAAAACAGATTCTTAATGTTTAAAAGTGATTCTGCAATAGAACAAGGTTTTGCTGAAGTTGGGCAATATGCTAAATATCCACAGGTGTATTTCAAGTTGTTCAGTTGTACTAGACTCACTAGACAAGATTAAAAGGTAGTAAGCTCATGAAAAGCTCAAGTTTGTACTGTAGATATCATTCAGTCACCTCTAATTTCTATAGCAAATACTCCAGTGAACAGAAATTACTCTTAAATCCAACTTTTCTTGATCTCTCAAAACTAATGTTATTTGAAGTATTGAACTCTTAAAGTTTGGCTGATTGCTTATAATCTTATCTGTGCTGCATTCATTTCTTTCCCCAAGGAAACTGGTGAAACTCAGGGCAGAGGAAGGACAGGTAAAAACAGTTTTACTTTGCATTAGACTAAAAACTTCCAGTACCTCACACTCTTTGAGAACATCCTGACTCTGTACAAACCAAGTTCACCTAACACACCACCATATAAAGTAGAACCTTTTGACAGTCTTATTTGGGTGACAAATTGTCCAATGTTAAGTGTTGCTCTTTTTGTTTTTAATCTCTTTTTACTGCTTACAATATTCTGCAATTTGTATTCATTTGGCCCGTAGCCAAAGGGAGAAGGTTAAAATAGAAGCTATCTGTTGAAATAGCAATACCTCCTCTTTCATCTGTGGCTCTTAAAATATATTTAAATGACCTTCAGTATTGAGGGAGTAGAACTGTCATGCTGAAAGTTGTTTTCCTCTCTTTGAAAAAGAAGTGCTAACTCTAATTCATCTCTTACCATAAGTTAAACACAGTAAATCAAATGCTGAACTGACTCAACTCAGTGGTAGCAGAACACGGTCAATTGTAGCCACTTGTCCTCTCTCAGTAAGTTAAGTTAAGCAGTCAACACAAAGGTTTCTTACAGGTACAGAGACAGTCCTTGTTTGGTCTATGAGAAGTTTCAGATGCTGCATTTTCATTAAAGTGAAAGTATATTGTTATTAGAGATAGTGTAGATGTTTTTCTGAGAATTAGGTGTTGGCTATATTAATGTTTACGTCATTTTCTAGCTCTTTCACTGATACCCCATTAGTAGACAGCATTTAAAATGCTGTCTAATTAGTCTGGTTTACTGAAAATTAGTCCATAGAAGTTAGATATAATTTCTGCAACTCTTTCCTTCAGTCTTAAATCTCATGCAAGTTTAGAAACAAAAGACAAATAAAGGAACAGAATACAGCAGACCTTAACACACATGTTTGGGGGGATCTTTTTCAATTTAAAGAAGAAGAAAGTTGTGTGTATCAGCTGAAGTATTCATTAGTTGTCTCATTGGCCCAAAATACAGCACGTGACTGAAAAAACTTAAGTACTTTGTGTCAGTCAGTCTGAGGAAACCCAACAGTACATACCAGCCTACAGCTGGAATGTGGACACACAACATAAATGGATCCCACTGTACCATTGAGAAAAAAGCCCTTTTTGTTGTTTTGCTTTCTTTTTTGTGCTTTTTTTTGTTTTGTTTTGATTTTTTAAATGTAGAAAAACAGCATATCTTGCTTAAAAGGAAATTTCCATAACTAAGGTATTTCTAGGATCCTGATAATGTGTTTTGTTTGACAGGGTGTTGTTTTTTTTCATAGCTTAAGGGATTTTGTATTTGCTACACTACTAAGCTGGCCCTGCCTCAGTACCAGCAGTTGCACTGGTCACATTCATGACCACATATAAACTGGCCTGATGTTTGTGGTTTGTTCTAACGGCCTGAAATAGTGATCATAAATCATAAGGTTGAACATGAGTTGTGATATAATGTAGGGAAGCTTGTGCTGTTGCTACAGCAGTAGAGTTAACATCGCCCAACACTTCCAAGCATATTCACACGACTTTAAAGCATAAATGATACTAGAAAATACCTCCTTCATCTCTTAAAAAAAAAAAAAAATCATTTTAAATGCATACTCTGTATCACCTAGTTACTGTCTTTGATCTGGCAATATGCCTTATGACAAATTTCTGAAACCATGCTGAGTTGCCTTGTCACCCAAAAATCCTGACAAACAAGCCTCCTTGATTTCCTGTTCCAGTATTGCATGGATAATTGAAGTCAAAACAAAGATTAAGTAATCAATTTGATGTTTCTACACAAATAAATGCATGCTGCCTTGTAAATAGTAGTGAGACCATATCAAGAAGCAGAAAGCAATTTCTGGTACTCTGCAACAGGAAATTCTAAAATATTTGGGAATATTCTGTAAAATGGTTAAGTAACAAAGTGAACTAATTAGTAAACTAATGCTTTGAAAAACAAATGCCTTCCTTTTTCGGAGCAGTCCAAATTTGCCTGCTGCATCCATGAAAGTTGCTCGTTCAGTGAAGGTCAAAGGTTTTGTTGTTGGTGCACCAGCTGATCAGCTGTGCCCATCAGGCTGCACTGCTGAGCATAACAAACTGCTGTGCATTGCTGATGTGCGTCACAGCACCCTGGGGTTTTGCACGGGGATTAGTCAGGCTGTATTTGGAAACGCCCTCAACTGCACCTTGTGCTGCTATATTAGTGTTTCTCAAGCAAGAGGAATTTTCTTTTGCTTCTGCAGCTGCTCCCGCTAAACCCTCTGGTAAGTGTGCACAGCTTCTGTCAACAGGAGGGACTCTGTTCTGTATTTTAGCCAGCATTATGAGATGAGGCATTACATATGGTTGTTTATTGTGACAAACTGTATTTTTAAAATATAAATTTGATAGCATAGAGTTGACAACAAGATCTAAGTAGTGAATATATTTACCATTTTTTATTGAATAGGTTAATTTGACTTGCACATTCCTTTACTTTTAAATATGTATCAGAGTAATCTTAAGTGTGAGTATTTTCGGAGCAGTGTACCATGCATGTCTGCTTTTATTTCTATACAGCAGGAATAGCAAACATATAGCAGACCAATTCTTAAAAGGATTTGGTTGATTTTTGTTGGCAGCCTGTATGCAAGCCCTGCGTCTCTGGACTCTGCTTGCCACCTATGCTGTTGCAGTAGGACAAAATCAAGGACAGAAGAATCAGGAGTGCCCTAAGCTCAACGCACAGGTACTCTCCTTTAAAAGCAAAAGAGAAAACACTGTTGTCATGTTTACTGTGAACGCTCTCCTCAGATTTTTATGTTTTGTTTTGTTTTATTTCCAAACTAAATATCAGAATCCACTGTACTAAGTGGAGGAAAAAAAAAAAAAAGAAGATGCAAATAATTAAATAAAACAAAAATTACTTTTAGTATGCATCCTACTTCACTTCTTAAAATAGCTAAGGTAGTGAAGGTATTTCCAGTTATTTCACATAGCCAGTGCTGGATCTCTAGTTTTGCAGGATATTTTTAAGCAACTGTGAAGATATTCAATGTTCTGTTGTTTCAATTCCATAATAACATTTACCTGATTACTTTTTAGGTAAGTTGTCCTAAGGCTATTTCTTGGCAAAACTACCAATAATGTAACTTCATAATTACTACTTGCTGGAGATTTCTTACCATATTTGAGTTTACATCATATGATCATAAACTGTAGTATGTTCTTGGTTTTGGTAATCGGAAAGCCAAAAACGCCTGTCCTGAGTTCAGGTTGTGCTAGCAGACTGCATAATCACTAGTGCAGTTGTGACTAGCTGTGCATAATGGAGTGATGGATGTGACTGTGCTCTCTTGCAGTAGCTTTTAATGTATCTGCTTAAACGATAGGTGGGGTTGCTGAGAGAAAACTTGCACTCAAGGATCAAAATTCATGTTGTCTGAATAAAGACATTGATTGATGCATATATGAGCACATGAAGCTCTATTTGAGCACATACAGATGGAAGAAAAGATACATACACACTCCTTTACTGTGGCTTTTGCTACGGCCCCAGCCTGGCTTCTTGCATTTCATACCTTGCAAACAGCAGAAGTTACGTTTTGGTAGCTTGTGCCATTTCAAAGGTTTTTAATAAACTTTGTATTTTAGAGTAAGCAAATGAAAAGAATCTTCAGTAATAATGTCAAAGGGAAAAGGGGATTGGAAAATAAGACGTATATGTAAATTAAGGAACGTTCCCTTTTTCCTTATAATTTCACCAAACTCTTGCTGTCACCAAGAACAGAGATCCAATTTTCTGCACCTCGCCACAGTATCAAATTTCACAGCTATCACTGCTGCCATACCCTGCCTTTTTTTGGTACATGTCCATAAGTAAGTATATATGATAGCTAGTCTCAGACCTTGGAATTGGGCATTTGGGTTCCCAAAATAAACATAATTTATTCTTGGTTTATAGTATTTTACAGCGAAGTTGTCACCATAGGCTAGAATTAAAATTAAAAAATAATTGAGTCCTACCATTTTATCACTTTGATTAGTATTTTTCATGTTCAGAAACAAAATTAATAGTTCCCCCTCCTTGCCAGCTCACCCTTACGTGTCCTCTGTATCATAAGTGAATAGATTTGGAACATACTGTCTAAGTCTAGTCTGAGGCAGGTTTACCAACAAAGTTTAAAAACAAATCATGTAATAATTGAAATTTTTATTTTTAATATCTTAAATAGGATATTTTTAATACATTTTTGAATGTGAGAACATTCCTTTTTATTATGATTAAGAATCTAGACATGGTACTGAAAACTAGCAAAGTACTCTATTAATCATTGAGATTTGTAGAGAAGCTCCCTTAATTTTTTATCCAGTTGTGATCCAGGGTGTTTTCGTAGCAGTGCTTTTTGGGAGGCATCTATACTAGATTATTCTTTGTAAAGTAAGAAAAAACTTTGTATATGCCAAGTATCATAGGCATAGGATACAGGGACATCAATATAAAAATACTTTGCCCCCTTTTATATGTCCTTGTTCAAAGCATTACTTAGAAGACTTACGGTAATGACTTTTTGTATTTGTAGTTATTACAAGTAATATTTCAGGCTGTGTATCTAGATTTTGTTGTGAAATAGGCCATATCTCCGTGTGGTTAAGCTAGCAAGTCATTCATCATCTTGTCCTTCCCTACTTAAAATTACAGGTAGTACAAACTACACAAGGTCCCACAGTTGTCCTTCATATGAAGTTTCTTTTTATCAGTTACTGTTTTAAAGACTGTTATTTCTTTAATTTCTTTTAATCACAGGGACTTATTTTTGTTCTTATTGGGTAGAGGGAGGGAAGTAACTCCTACCTTTAGCGCTCAGTAGGTTCAAAAATGCAACACAGTCTCAACTCACAGAGTATGAAGTTATACCTGATGCACAGAATGAGTTAGTAATTACCTAAGATACTTAAACAGAAACACCTACTAGGGCAGCTGTGAACTCTGAATTCATTGAGATGGCTGGATTTCATTTTAGGGATGATCAACAACTCTTGTTTAGCAGTCTGACCGATGTTGTATACATTTCACTGTCTCAAACACTAATAAAATTATGTATATAAGCAGCACCCAAATACAACATAAAAGCAGCTCTGTTAACAGGCTTGCTACCCAATTAAAATTAAAATAAGAAACTTTTTTCCAAAACAAAAATTAAAAACGGTCTTACAGTAAATACCTTTCCTCTTTATTTAACCCAGCTACATAGGTTTATGTTTCATATACTAAATGTTATACTCATAACTGGCATTGTTGTAAATGACCATTCTGTGGTTTATAGGACTGGGGGATTTCCATACCAGCGTGAATCCGTTACTGTTCATTCGTCAAGGTATGACTATAACATTGTTAACTACAAAAAGAATTTCCTACATCCTTAGTGCAGTTACCTGCTGTCACAAACAGTCCCATCTTTTTTTATCCTTTTCATAAATCAAACTAAGCTCAACCTTTAAAATAATCTTCAGTTTTATCTTCCTTGCTTCTCTTTGGAAACTCCTTAAAAACCTCAGAGACTAGAAACTTAAATGTTTTTGTAGCCATTGTTATACCAGCCACAAATTATCTTTGGGATTTGTCATCTTCTAACGTGCATTTCAGAAAGATACCTGTCTCTGTGAGCTATTTCAGTAATATATAGATGTCCTTAGTATGAAATCAAAACTCTTCTCGCACCTTTATAAATAGGGTCACTTTAAGTGCTTCCATGTGATATACTTTCAGATGTCACAGTGAAGTATGAATTCCTTTTCCTGTGCTTATATAGTTTTAGTCCTGTATGTAGAAGCTCTTTCTTCCTAAAAGCTTTCTTGCCTTTGCTAAGTGATGTGGAATTTCTTCATTTGGTTGTTCTCCATATATGTTCTTCCCAGTCAACTGATTCATCAGAACTGTTGGCATTCTGTATATATTGAGTTGACTCCTAGGGCTTTGTTGAGCAACTAATACAAACACAAATTTTATTACATTACCTGTAGATCTCTTATTAGCTTTATTTCACTCATTGTTCTTTTATCTGTTTTATCAGTTCTTTCCAATATGAATCTGCTTGTCTATTTCAACTTTGAAGAATGGCAAATACGGAACAAAAAACAACAGCTAGATTGGGCAGAAGTATAAGACATTGGATAAGACAGTTTGTTAGAAAATTGGTGATTGCTTATTAGGTAGTTTCATTTATTTTTAATATGATAAAGCCCAAGTAAAATAATTGCTCCTACTGTTTTGTTGCAGATATGAATACAAGCAAGTAGGGACCAGGACAGCAGCTGTTTCATCTAACCATATTTGTCTGGGTGTTTATCAGATGCCATATCCATAGTTAAAACTTGTGAAAGTGTCTCTGGAACTGACATTTCATGGGTTACACTCAGTGCAGAAGACTTTTTTTTTTTTTGGAGAGCAAGTTAAAATAACATGCTCTCCAACTGACTTAAGTTCTTGTGTAGAAAAGAAAAGTGTTAGCAAATAAATACACTACAAAAACTGATTTTGAGTAGGATTATCGGTTTACAACATCAAAGCAGGAAACTTTCTTAATATTCAAAATCTTAAGCAATATCTTGTTGAACATCATCTACTGAATTCTTTACTAAGGGTGGTTTTTGTAACGTTACTACAAAAACTTACAAAAGGTCTCAGTCTGAAGTAAAACACTAGCAAGCAATCCAGCTTTCCTCATACAGGCTCTCCCTCTGATCTCTTCATCGCCACCAATGTCTGTTCAGTTTAAATCAGTTACATTATGAAGTCTGTTGCTTAGTTTCTAAGTAAAACAAGTAATGTTTGAACTACTTCTTACAAAAGGACACATTTAGATTTCACATTGTTTGATTTTTGCATTCCAAGTCTAAAAACATATATACAATATGCCTCCCAAAAGTCAAAGGAATTAGATTAGTCAATTCACATTAGTCAAGAATTACAACACAGTCAAATTACTTTATCTTTCATTACAGAAAACAAGCACTGTATACCCACCAAATAACTAGCATGGTTTGTTTTGTTTACCAGCACTATACAAAATACAAAAGAAATACTGTAACATACCTTTAAAGAGTTGCAGGTTGTTAATGCTTTTTCTAATGTGACTAGATCCATTGACATACTTCTGCTGATAACTGTGAGTTAACATCTATAAATGCTTTGCAGACATATATCTTAACGGATGAGGGCATTATTTAATATGTGTCTTTCAGGAAGATATTTTATGGTTATTAGCTTTCTCAGTGATTCCCAATCTGGGATGTAGCTGACAGCTGGAGGCTATCCAAGGTGTACCTTTTTTGAATTTGCTGTGCCAATAATGAAAGTAACAAGGCACGGCAGACACACAGAAGAAAACAATTATCTTGGATTAGAAGGCACCACTTCTACAGAAAAGGTCTTTGCCTTAGAATATTTCTCACATCTATGGAAAACAAGGACAAACTTAGATCTTCCAAACTAAATAAAAGAAATGTGGTTTCTTTCTTTATGAGGCTTATAAGACAGAAGAGGTAGTAAATACCCTGCCATGACTGTAGAATTTTTGTAAAGTACTCTGGTATGAGGAAAACTTCTGGGATGGGTAGTAAAAAACCTTGAAAAATTATCAGAGACTCATTATTAGGATTTTAGAAGGATCTCTGTTGTCGTTAATGTCTGTGTGGTTATCAGACAGAAAGTGACCATAAGCATACAAGGAATTAGAAATACTTGTTATATTTTACAAATAGGAGCATTGATGTGGAAGAAAAAATGTACAATTCAGCAAAATTAAATGTAAAATTCAACACTGTGCAACTATCTGTTTCTACCTCGGTGTAATGTTGAGAAGGATATTTGGTGATAGTGATTCAAATTCAGTTGGTGATTACCATGTTATGTCTGGCAAAGGAATTATCTGAAAGACACAGGCCAATGTAGCCCTTCAGCTGAGGGCATTTCAGAGCAGAATGGTACCAGTTAGGGATGCTATTCAAGAACAGTATGGTTCAAATGGATGGGCCAGGACAACGTCAAGAATTGCCTGAGTTGTGGAAAAATGTGCTCTGTAAAAGAAGACTGAAGCAACTGAGGTTCTTTAGGTCAGGAAGGAGAGAAAAATGTCCAAGTGAGAGCCCGTGAAAAAGAGTACTTTTCTCCAAGTTGAATGAGCTAAAATTACAGGAAGAATGGTTACAGAGATTAAGCAAAGTTTACTGAATGTAAAGATAGTTGAGCACTAAGATATGTTGTTGGGGGAAGTAAGGAATACATGAGCGGAGGTTTTGAGAACATTAGAAAAATATCTGCTGAGAATGATATGGCTGGAATAGTTTGCTCCTCACTGAGGGCAGAGCGGAGTGAGACAATATTTAACAATACCACCAGCTCCTTTTCCCGACACATAAGGATCTTTGCCATTACAAAGGCATGTGTTTACAAGACTTTTAAGAGACTAAAATGTCATCTTTTTCCTAGAGGACAACCTAACTGCAGTTTGAATGTGAGTTGGTTACTTGTGAACAATAGGCTTAGTAGCATCAAGAGCAGGAAGAAATAGTGTTGTGTGACGTAAAAATAATTGGTCATATTCTCATATGAACTCTGGTAGTTCCAGAAATAGAAATATGTCAGGAAATTATAGCTTAAGAAAGACTACATACTTTTATTTTTAAAAAAAAAAAAAGAAGAAGAAGAAAGAAAAAGAAAATTCGAATGACCAGAACATGAAAAATGTAATTCATCTATGTCATTATCTCTGAAGTTCTACACACAGAAAATAAAATGTACTACTCATAAGTGCCTGCATACAGAGCTTGCAAGTGTCTGAAGCCTTTGCTGTAGAAACAGTCCATAAGATTACAAAGGAAGGAAATACATACTAAATTTAGAAATTTCTGTTAGTAAGTTGTCTATTACCATTTCTGCAAGGTTGAAGACAAACTTCTAAAGCAAAAAGCAGGTTTTGTTTTAGGGGAGGAGGGTTGGTTGGTTGTTTTGTTTTTTTTTTTTTAAGCCAAATTTACCATTTATTATAGTATTCAGGGAAAGTTCAAAAGGCATATGTAGTGTGATACTATGTTCAGAACTATGCATTAAAATAGGTAACGGAAAACAGTTGATAGACTGGCTAGTGACCAAGAATTACTATGTGACCTTGTTGCACTGGAGTACGTGGTTGAAACCTTACGCAGCATTCTCAACAATAGAATGAGTCTCTAAAATCAGCCTGTCTCCTTTTCTGTATTGGAAGCTTAAGGGTATATTAATTGCACAAAGAGCTAGTTTTAATATGTGCCATCTCTCAGTGATCTAATTCAACCACAAGTTGATTCCATGCATCCCATTTCTATCCATGTCTCGTACATCCTACAAATACAAATCTGTTCCGTGAGTGTCAGTTTATTGCGTAATCTGATATTAGGAAAAGGAACAAAAACACATGTTGAAAACAAACAAAAACTATATGCAGTTATCAATTCCAGAGAATTTTCTATTTCTTCTCATTCTAACTTGCCTTCCTATCCTGAGTATGTCATAGTGTCACATGAAATGGTTTATAGATGCAGATCTTCCAGTCTGATGGCTAGCAGGTATTGCCTATTAAGTTTTCTTCTGTAGGTATATTTCTTTCTTTGTTCTTACTCTTCACAGATGCCAGAATTTCAGAAGAAGACTGTCCACATTAAGGACCCAGGGAGAGTAGAAGAGATTATCTGTGGCCTCATCAAAGGTGGAGCTGCAAAACTTCAGGTAAAAATAATAAAAGCTGTAATGTGTTCAGAATGAAAGTAATCATATGACTTTTGCTGTGCACCAAAAATTCTAATATATATATTTGTATTTAAAACAAGTAATCTTTCAAGTTATCTTCAAAACTTAGATATCTGTTAACTCTGTTAATAGACCTTGCTGATTCAACTGTAATTAATCCAGATGGTAGTTAAGTAAATGGTATAAACATCTAAGACTAGTAATTTCAGGAAATACTCTGACCAAAGGAATTAGAAAAACAATTTTCTTGGAAAAAATTATGGGATATTCTAGCTTACCTTACAGTAAAACAGAGATTTCTGTGACAGATATGCTACTCAGCTGCATCTATTGTTGATCATTCAGAATTTCTATCCATTCTTTATTTTGTCCCTCTGTGTTGTAAGACAGTTTTGCTTTTTCTTTCCTTAAATAGATTATTACAGATTTTGATATGACTTTAAGTAGATTTTCCTACAATGGAAAAAGATGTCCAACTTGTCATAGTGAGTACTTTTTTTTTTTTTTTAATACGGATTGTTACTCCTTTGGTTGTTACTCCTTTCAGTTTTCCCTAGAATTTAATTTTCTATACAACGTATTCCCTAATATATGAGATCTTATATTGACCTGTTACAAAGGCTGTATATCCTAATAAAGTATTACAGTGTCTGTGTGGCTTTATGCATATATATATGTTTTAATCACAGTCAGTGTGAACTAAAATCAGATAAGCTGTCATTCACAATTATAAACTAAGTTTTAAACTATGAGTTATTAATGGCTAGATATGGTAGGGTTGACTTACATTGTTCAAGAGCCAGTAACAGTCCAAACACCTCTGAGAATCAGTTAGTAGACTCCTTGGAATGCTTGATGTTTTTATCCTGTACCCTTTTAGAATACTTGTAAATTATCACTTTACTAATAAATAGGGGATCCTAAAATATATAGGATGTCTGATAATGATTTCAGTAACAATTACTTCTCAAGAAATAATAGGCTTGTAATTTACTTTCTAATATGAGGGAAGGATTGTGATATCATTATGCTTGCGAAGAAAAATGTTCCTTTTACTGGTTATTGGTAAGAAAAGTTCTGAGGAAACAGTGGTATGCTGTCAAACACCATATTCTATGTATTATATTGCAGTCATTTACAGTGTATTGCAATACTAAAGGAAAAGAAATACAATGTTTTGTTTCCCACTTTTTTTTCCACCCCTCCAGACATCATTGATAACTCTAAACTCATCACAGAGGAATGTCGGAAAAAGGTAAATAGAAAACATACAAGCTGCTTGTTTGTTGTACAGAGAACTGGTTTTATTCCCTGGCTGTACCGCATGTTGATTTACACAGTACTACAGGATGAGTCATCCTTTCAAATCCTTGAAGCTCTGAGAGCTTTCTTGCTGACTGTAAGGTATCCAATCACTAATAGAAGTGAACAGAAGTATTTCTGTTCTTGATAGTAGCATATAGTTTAGTTTAACAGAATCAGTTTTTTCTCCTTACATATATTTACAATTTAACTTTTTGTCTGTACAAAGAGTATTTCAGATTTCATTTTATCTAAATAATGTAACTGGAATAAAATTAAGTTATTTTGATTGGTTAGACCAAATATGAAGTGTTATGTTATAAAGATACATTAAACATCTGTGTTGTTTTTTTTCTCTTCAGTTACTGCAGCTGAAAGAAACATATTATGCTATTGAAATTGACCCAGCCCTCACTATCGAAGAAAAATACCCATATATGGTAGAATGGTAAGAGACATTTCCCATCTTCAAGTTGTACTAAAATTGTATTTAATAACTTTTTAAAAACAGATTAATGGCAGTATGTAGCTTTAGCTAATGCATTGACTGAATTAATCTCTAAGTGTTACACAATAGCTGTTGTTTTTTTGTTGTTGTTTTGTTTTTTTTTTGCTGTTAACTTGAATGAGCAAGAATTAAACACAGGATGCTTTTTAATCATGAGATTTAATGACCGTTGAATTTTCATAAGTTGTCCAACATATTTTTTGTTTATGTTCTAGGTACAATAAATCTCATGCATTACTCATTGAACAAGGCTTAGAAAAGGATAAGTTTGCAGAAATTGTGAGGGAATCTGATGTTATGCTGAAGTAAGTTCCTATTGATTTGAACGATACTGTTTAGAAACATTTTACGTAGATTTTTACTGTGTGTTTGGACAGTGAAAAAAATGAGAATGCAATACATTATTCTTGGACATAGTGAGTGCTTCATGCTCCCCCTTATTTATATTTTGTAGATAAATGCCTGTGATGATGACAGCATATATTTCATCCTCTTGAAATTGCACTGGTGTCTTTTTATTTTTTTCTTAAAGAGGAATATAGAATTCAACTTTATTCCTTTAAAAAAATATTACCTGTAGTAATTTTATATGAGATAAAAATGCAGGGACTTGAGGAACATTTTTCTTGATGTTATTAAATAATGTACTTCCTCGATGGTTAAAGGCAATTTTAAATGCCAGCAAAATACTTGCTTGAAACGTACTCTGTGCTGTGGCTCCTATCTCTTAAAGTTCTCTAATCTGTGAATTTTTGAATAGGGGAATGGGATGTTAAAACTTAGCTTGTGAAATTGTTCACCATGACGACTGAATTTTTCTCCTTTGCAAAACTAGTAAGCAAGCACACAGTATGCAGCAATGTGAAAGTCTTAAGTCCATGTGGATTGAAAAGTCTAAGTCCATGTGGATTGAATCTTCATTCACAAGCTAAAATTTCCTCAAGAACCTTCATAATAATAATAAAAAAATTCTACCATTCAGTGTCTGCAGAGAAGTGTACAAAGATACTATCTTATTCTTGGAATACTGTACATAGTTTTGATTTGGGTAATGAAAACTAAAAAGTTTTCAGGAAAGAGTTGACAAGAATGTTTTCAGGATTTTAAACCAACACACTCCAAAATCCTAGCTTTATATTTATTATTATTTAATTTTTTTTGGTTAATGACTCCGCTAGCAAGTCAAACATTTAAGCAGTAAAGATGAAAAGGAGATATATAGCCTGATGATAGCTAGAAAGAGTTCCACTACGGGCTTGATTAAGATGGTTGAGGGTGTGAGGGGGCAGATTATGCTGACTAAAACCAAAAATTTTGAAACAGCAATTTCTTCCTAAGACTGCATGCTTTGTGTTAGGTTGATGGTTCTTGCTAACCTAAAGAGGTGAGGCAAAGGAAACGAAGATAAATTCTCCGTGAAAACTATACTGTTTTCTAAATATGATGTAATGTTTTCTGCAAACTGTGACCTTTCTTGGCTTTTTTTCTTTGAGATTTGACTTATATTTACATCCTTTTTTGCAGAGAAGGGTATGAGAACTTCTTTGATAAGCTCAGTGAACATAATATCCCCGTGTTCATATTTTCTGCCGGGATTGGGGACATTCTTGAGGAAGTTATCCATCAGGCTGGAGTCTACCATTCTAATGTCAAAGTGGTTTCCAATTTTATGGATTTTGATGAAAATGTATGTATGCATGACTATCTGCAGGATTTAAGGGCTATTTTTATATACTACAAGATGAACATTTTAATGCAACAGTTGTAGCCATCTGCCCTGCTTTATATTAAATGAGAATTGCTTACTCAGCACACTCCCAAGTGAACAGTCAAACAGAGGATAATAGTTCAAACACTGTTAGCATGGTGTGACTCAGATACCATTCATTGCCTTTAATGATAGCCTCACACTCAGCCCAGTACACCTTTACTGCTCCTCCAAGCAGGGAGGATCACTGACTTTCTAGTCTTAAAAGTGCTATTACAGTCATTCCATTGTTTAACAGTAATTTATCTTTTTCATAATTAAAGATTAAACATATTTCAAGAGTAATACCTATTTAATTCTAGATGATATTTTGTCTGCATAATACTAGAAATAACTTCAGTGTTTGTTTATTTGTTTTATAGGGAATATTAAGAGGATTTAAAGGAGAATTGATTCATGTTTACAACAAGCATGATGGTGCCTTGAAGAATACAGAGTATTTCAAACAGCTAAAAGACAACAGTAATATAATACTGCTGGGTGATTCCCAAGGAGACTTGAGCATGGCAGATGGAGTAGCAAATGTTGAGCACATTCTTAAAATCGGATATCTCAATGATAAAGTAAGTAACCTGACATACTCATAAGCTTTAAGTGAAATATTGTGAACTAGCAACAGGTTCATTGTAATAAGCATCAAATATCAAAACAAGTGTTTGACCCATACTTGTTTTGGAATCTCAACGTTTTTCGTGGATTTCATATTTATAGTTCCCCGCCACTCCTGCCTTTCAATACTGGATTGATAATTGAGCAAAACTGTAGTCTTCCAAATAACAAATTCAGTCCATGACATTTATTTTATTTTCTTTGGAGACAGAGAAATGGTTGTTTGGCAAGTGATAATGCACATACATTCGCATTCAGGAGAGAAAACTCTTGTTTTCTTTTTCTTCTCTGCCTTTTGGGAAAATGAGAAAGCACTGGGCAGAGGGGTGGGTTGTTAGTTAGTTTGTTTTTCCTGGTATCTGTACATGTGAGAACCTAGAATAAATGTGAGGTTAATCCTGAAACGTGAACACAGTTAATGTCACATTACTCCTACTCTCTGTCATCCTTATAGGAATGATACCTATTTACATGGCTCATTTCCTGAACTTGGTGGAAAGATTGGCAGTATTTTAAGACAAAAATATCTTTTAATATTCTACAACTAAGTGCGTCTTTCTCTTTATCCCTTCTGCCATTAGGTAGATGAACTTTTGGAAAAATATATGGATTCTTATGATATTGTCTTGGTGAAAGATGAATCCCTGGAAGTTGCCAACTCTATCCTACAGAAAATCCTGTAAATTGCAGTCTCAGGACACTCCATTCCTTCCAGAAGGCAACTGGACAGAAGAGAACACATGCTATCTTAAGTGTCTATTACTCATTGACAGAACTGTTTAATTTAAAACTTTTATCTTCATTTTGGTATTTTGAAGTATATATGGTGCCCATTGTCAACTAGAAGCTCCTTTTACTGCTGTTACTCTTTTCTTTGTCTCACACTCCTGTTACAACTAGATTTAAATTGGATTTATAAATGTGATAAACTGCTCCTGATGGGATACTGTGGTTCACTGTCTTTTTAATCAGGCATTTCAGAAGAGCATTTTAGCAAATGTGACTGTTTTGTAAAACTGAAGATGTAAACATTCTGTGAATAAGCAGTGTACACAGGTTTGTTTTGCCTTTTCTTCTTTCAAAGAAAATATCTTGGTATCAGCTATACTCATATGCTACAGACTGTCACAGAATTTTTTCATACATGTTTTCTTCAGTACAAATGCTTCATTCACCCAGTTCAGACAAAGTGTTCCCTATTAATAGATTTGTGTATCATTACAAAATATTTTGCATCCTTACTGTTTCTTTAATCTCTGTGGAATGGGAGAATAATACTGTTATAAGTCAGTATACCAGAAGGTTTCTCATCCTTGTAGGTAGTTTTTACATACCAGCTCTTATATCTTTTCAGATCTTATTCTCTCTACTGCTCCAATTCCAGCCTGCTGTTTCACGTCAAAGCTAGCATGGCTTGTCTAAAGTAATCTCTCTTGCAGTTCTCAGTGAGCTGCTCCAAACAGAAAATCAAGACAAAGCTAGATCTTAATCTTGGATTTTAAAAGCTGATTTAGCCGTCTTAAAAAATCAGGTTTTCTTACAACCAGCTCTGTGCCCCTGGAGCAGTTAAGGACCACCTTTCCAAACCTTAGGCTGGCTTTAAGTTACAGTTCCACTCTTCACAAACTGTAAGCAGGGGCATCAGTATGGCATCTAGCTGCTCTAGCTTTATTATCCAAATCCTCTTTTTAAACATCTACTGAATCTTCAGAAAGTATTTCCTTGGTATTGAACATGTTACAGTACCTCTCAGCATCATCTACAGAATGATGCAGCTTGATGTAACCACAGCTTGTAAAGCTTACTCTGGTAGATACATTGTGGAGAAGGTAAGGATGGTGTTGAGAGTAAAGCTTACTCTGGTAGATACATTGTGGAGAAGGTAAGGATGGTGTTGAGAGTAAAGCTTACTCTGGTAGATACATTGTGGAGAAGGTAAGGATGGTGTTGAGACCTTGGTCCTAAGGGGTCTCAGCTGTACTAGCTCTATTCTTTAGTAAAACAGTGGCAATCAGACAACCTTCCCTAACATGCAGTATAGGGATTCTTCCCCCTTTGCTTTCTTCTATACCCAGCAGGAATGGTGCCACCTTCCATTCCCTGAGGAACTAAAGTGAAAACACAGGAGAGCCTAGATCTGCTTTCTCTCCCACTAGCAAGTCATACACATCTCAAAAAATGGACTCATTCCTGTTCAGCCTAAGTGCTAACTGGCACCAGTTGTTTGTGTTGGTTTTTCTTTTCCCCAAAGCCAGAAAATTTCTGTCACTACACCTGCTAGAACTTTTCCAAGAAGGCTAGATAGTGTTGTTTGCTTACCCCAACTCTGCACCCACTGCAGTAATTGAAATTAAATCATCCACACATTTTGAATGGATGGCAGAGTCTTGATACACAATCCAAAGTAGTGTGAGCGTCCTTTCGTAACCACATCTCACATGATGTCCTCAATTACATGGGACTCCTTGTATACAATCTACAGTCATGTTGTTCCCTCCTCCTGACGCAGGGGCAGCTGCATCCCCAAAAGCGAAGCAGTTGAGGTGCGAGCAGGTGGATGACCTGATCCGCATGGTGGCGGAGCTCAAGGAGGAGGTGGAGAGGCTGAGGGCCATCAGGGAGTGTGAGCGGGAGATAGACTTCTGGAGCAACTCCCTGCAGGGCCTCAAGGAGAGGTACCGGGGTGAGACACCCCAAATGGGGGTGGACACCCTGCCCAGTCGCCGTCGGGCAGAGGGAGGGGATCTGGGAGTTGAGGAGGAATGGAGACAGGTCCCTGCTCGACATCGCAGGCGATGCCCTCCTCTTCCGACCCCACCTTCCCAGGTGCCCTTACAAAACAGGTTTGAGGCCCTGGAGAATGAGAGATCAACAGCAACTGAGGAAGAGGTAGAAAGTGTTCCCAGGAGGATTCCTAGGGTGAGGAGGTCAACTCCACGCATCAGGACTGCCTCCACCAAGAACGAAAGAAGGGTGATTGTTGTGGGTGACTCTGTCCTTAGGGGAACAGAGGGCCCTATTTGTCGGCCTGACCCTACCCGTAGGGAGGTCTGCTGCCTCCCTGGGGCCAGGGTCAGGGACATTGCCAAGAAGGTCAAGCGCCTGGTACGGCCCACTGACTACTACCCGCTATTGGTCTTTCAGGCTGGTAGCGATGAAGTAGCAAAGAGAAGTCCGAAGGCGATCAAAAGAGACTTTAGGGATTTGGGGCGACAACTTAGAGGTTCAGGCGCGCAGGTTGTGTTTGCCTCTGTCCTTCCGATAGGGGGGATGGAAGCTGAAAGGTGCGCTGTTCGCATAAACTCGTGGCTTCGTGACTGGTGTGACCGGCACAACTTTGGGTTCTTTGATCACGGGAAGGTCTATGCTACACCGGGCCTGATGGCACCGGATGGGATGGGCCTCTCTCGGAGAGGGGTAAGGATCTTTGGTCAGGAGTTGGCAGGGCTGATAGATAGGGCTTTAAACTAGAGTCGAAGGGGGAAGGGGCTAAAACCAGGCACGCCGGTGAAGACCTAAGGGATGGTACGCTAGAATCAGAGGGGCTGTGTGCCAGTGAGGTCCTTCGGTTCGATCCACAAGGTGCTGAGTGTAAGGAGACGCACCTGAAATGCTTCTACACAAACGCACGCAGTATGAGGAATAAAATGGATGAGCTAGAAGTCCTGGCCCAGTCCCGCAACTACGACATCATCAGCATAAGCGAAACCTGGTGGGATGAGTCCTGTGACTGGGGTGTTGCGATAGACGGTTACAGGCTCTTCAGGAGGGACAGGCAGGGTAGGCGAGGTGGTGGGGTGGCGATGTATGTGAAGCAGGGGCTGGACTGTGTGGAACTTCAGGTCGGCGATGGCAAAGTTGAGAGCCTCTGGGTAAGGATCAAGGGACGAACGAATAAAGGGGATGTCGTTGTGGGAGTCTATTACAGACCGCCTGGCCAGGACGATAGCGCCGATAACTTATTCTTTACAGAACTAAGAGAGGCCTCGAGATTAACTCCCCTTGTCCTTATGGGGGACTTCAACTTGCCAGACTTTAACTGGGAGTGCCACACGGCTGACACGAGCAAGTCCAGGAGGTTCATGAAGCACCTAGATGATAACTTCTTGGTGCAGGTGCTAACGGAGCCAACTAGGAAAGGTGCCCTCCTAGACCTGTTGCTAGAAAACAGAGAGGGTCTGGTGGGAGATGTGGTGATTGGTGGCCGCCTCGGTCATAGCGACCATGAAGTGGTTGAGTTCAAAATTTACGGTGACAGAAGGAAAAGTGCCACCAAAACCTCATCCCTAGATATGGGGAAGGCGGACTTCAGGCTGCTCGGGGAACTAGTCAGCAAGGTCCCCTGGGAAGCTGCTCTTGAAGGCCTTGATGTCCACCAGTGCTGGTCACTCTTTAAGCGATGCCTCCTAGAAGCACAAGATCAGGCAATTCCTAAATATCGCAAGTCAGGCAGGCGGGGCAGGAGGCCGTCGTGGCTGACCAGGAACATTCTTATGGAGATTAGGCGGAAACAGAGAGTGTTTCGCTACTGGAAGGAGGGCCAGGTGACATGGAAAGAATACAGGGATGCTGCTCGTGTCTGTAGGAAGAAAATTCGTGTGGCTAAAGCACACCTAGAGTTGAAGCTGGCTGTGTCTGTGAGAGAAAATAAAAAGGGTTTTTTTAGATATGTGAATGGAAAAAGGAGAACTAAAGAATACATAGGGCCGCTCCTTGACAGGGAAGGTCTTCTCACAGACGATGACATAGGCAAAGCAGAGACGCTTAACGCCTTCTTTGCCTCTGTCTTCAATGCCGATGATGGGCTTCGGGACCCAGGGTGCCCCGAGCTGGAGGACCGGGACGGTGGGGATGACAAACTCCCAACCGACCCTGAACGTGTGCGGGATTTGCTACTCCACCTGGATCCCTACAAGTCCATGGGTCCGGATGGGATTCATCCCCGGGTGCTGAAGGAGCTGGCGGACGTCATCGCGGAACCTCTCTCAATTATTTTTCAACGATCCTGGGAGTCTGGAGAGGTCCCGGTAGACTGGAAGCTGGCAAATGTTGTGCCGATTTTCAAGAAGGGTCAGAAAGAAGACCCTAGCAATTACAGGCCTGTCAGTCTCACATCAGTGCCTGGTAAAATCATGGAGAAGATGGTTCTCGAACGTATTGAGGCGCACCTGGGGGACAAAGCAGTCATTGGTCCCAGCCAGCATGGGTTTGTGAAGGGTAGGTCCTGCCTAACTAACCTGATTTCCTTTTATGATAAGATCACCCGTATGGTAGACCAAGGGAAACCAGCTGATGTGATTTTTTTGGACTTCAGCAAGGCTTTTGACACGGTTTCCCATAGGATCCTACTGGACAAAATGTCCAGCATACAGCTAAATAAAAACATCATACGATGGGTGAGCAATTGGCTAACGGGCAGGGCCCAAAGGGTTATGGTGAATGGGGCTGCATCAGGCTGGCGGGCGGTCACCAGTGGGGTCCCTCAAGGCTCCATTTTAGGGCCGGTACTTTTCAATATTTTTATAAACAATCTGGATGTAGGAATAGAAGGCATTTTGAGCAAGTTTGCTGATGACACCAAACTTGGAGGAGTTGTGGACTCGAATGAGGGCGGAAAGGCCTTGCAGAGGGATCTGGATAGGTTGGAGAGCTGGGCGATCGCCAACCGCATGAAGTTCAATAAGAGCAAGTGCCGGGTCCTGCACCTGGGACGGGGAAACCCTGGCTGCACGTACAGACTGGGCGATGAGACGCTGGAGAGCAGCCTAGAAGAGAGGGATCTGGGGGTCGTGGTAGACAACAAGTTGAATATGAATATGCCAGTGTGCCCTGGCAGCCAGGAGGGCCAACCGTGTCCTGGGGTGCATCAAGCACGGCATCGCTAGTAGGTCAAGGGAGGTGATTGTCCCGCTCTACTCTGCGCTGGTGCGGCCTCACCTCGAGTACTGTGTGCAGTTCTGGGCACCACAGTATAAAAAGGACATGAAACTGTTGGAGAGTGTCCAGAGGAGGGCTACGAAGATGGTGAAAGGCCTGGAGGGGAAGACGTACGAGGAACGGCTGAGGGCACTGGGCCTGTTCAGCCTGGAGAAGAGGAGGCTGAGGGGAGACCTCATCGCAGTCTACAACTTCCTCGTAAGGGGGTGTCGAGAGGCAGGAGACCTTTTCTCCATTAACACCAGCGACAGGACCCGCGGGAATGGAGTTAAGCTGAGGCAAGGGAAGTTT